CATGCTGTAGTCCTCTTTTCAATGTAAGACCAGATAAAATCCTTTAAAGTTTCTGTTATACCCCTGTTATTTTGGTGCATGTTATTTCACCTCACACGGGGCGTCGTCCCTTGTTCATAAATATATGTCTGTCCAGGGTGTTGTTTTGGCAGCTGTATCAGCCATTTGTGTGGTTTTCAACATTTCTCCACATGCGATACATATTCAGTATTGAACTAATGCAGGTGTTTCTTTTGGACACTTTTGTTTTTCCCTGCTAATCATTCCACCAGTGCCCATTTGCTTCTGACACAATCAAAAGACTGCAGCAGGCCTGATCATCCAGGAGCTCTGTCATAGGCTAGGTCTCCTGTTGGGGCTTCATCCCCATAAAACACAGTCAGAATGAAATGTACCCCCTCCTTTTACATTTGAGAGCTCTGAATTTTGCTCACAAAGAATATTAATGGTTTTGGCATTTGGTCCCAGAGATTAACATTTTCATTTGAATCCTGAATGCCTACAATATTTAGTAATAATTTTTTTCTTGTGCCAGCTGAAGCTCAGTATAAACAATATATCGTTTTCCTGTATTTAATGTTTGATTTGGTAAATAAACTGTATTTAATGTAAGGACTTTTGGGCTTGTGGAGCACATACCTTGAATCAGTATGGTTTTGGCAAAGGCGACAGATGATATTCCTCCTTTTCGTGTGGCAGAAATTATGCCAACATAACCACTGTGTTTATTTCATATCACAGTAATTATTGTAGAGATTTATTTCATTATTACTATTGATTATGCAATTGTATTTGTTTGTGTAGAAAGAGATTTTTCAGCTATGTATGTAAAGAACATATGTCATAATGGCATGAAGTAAGTCTTAACAAAAAGCTAAGTTGTTTATGTAAATTTGCATAACCTGCACTTAGTGAAAACCTCTATATTGTAAGAAAATCCATTTCCTCAGAGAACTAAAGAGGGATTTCGCTCCTACCTTTGAAATTCGTTAAGCAGTTGGTCTTTAATAGACACATGGTGTGTTTTATGTGGGGCAGTAGCTGAATTTTTAAATGTTATTTACATTAATTTTTGGCTTCAAAAGGTTTGTGCTGTCTGTAGCCTTAGCATTGCTCAGACAGCTATCTTGGCGTGGCCTCTGTGTGTTGTCATGTAGAGGGCAAGCTAGTTGTCCATTGCTACTGACAAGGGCAGCGTTAGAAGTATAAGAACTTACAAATTAGAAGATGAAGTTCTGTATCTGATTGACACATTTACATTTGATCTGCAGCAGCTGAAAAACTTGGCTGTTTATTGAAATGCCTCATCAGGCAAGAGTCCAATTTAAATGATCGATGAACCAGAAAAAACGGCATTCTCTCACTGAATTTGAGGTTCTCACAGCAGTGACAGCAAAGAGTTGTGGGGTGTAATGCTCAGCAGTTTGGAAAAAGCACAGCTTGTTGGGTTTTTTTCTGATCTACACAGCATTACAACCCAGGAAACTAATATTCTTTGTACTTTATCTCATCACAAAATCTTTTTTTTTTTATTTTGTTATTAATATGAACTGAGATGATTACAAAGCTTAAACAAATAAAATGCAGCACAATATGGAAAACGGCTCTTTGGTTTGTAAATTTCTCCCCCCCCCCCAATTTTNNCAATTTTAAAGACTTCAGTATTACCATTTTGTTTTTCATAAACAAGATTACTAAAGACCATTTTATGCAACTGAACATTTTAATTTAATGAGAACACAAATCATTTTCATCTTACATGTTTCAGCAGAATTCTGACGTCAGTGTTATTAACTAAGTTAAAAATGTATAAACAGTTCTGCCTTTTATTTCTTGAGCACATTGAAGTAATAAAATCATGATTATTGCATTGATCCTTCAATTTTTTCCCTCCAGTTGCCATGTAAATCAAAATTTGTTGAAGAGACTGCATAAATTATTGTTTATTTCTATTTTTAATTTATTATATATCGTGTGGGTTTGAAACGTGGTTGGGTCTGTAAAAAGTAAGTTCAGGGCTACAGTGAAGGTCCATTCTGTGGCAGTGAGGACACACGATGCTGATAAGACTCGACACAGCCTTAGATATTGCATGATGTGATTAACAAGACACTGATGCTAGCATGGAATCAAGGTCACAGCAGTACTGCTTACTGTTGGATAGACACACATGCCTGCTTCTGTTCTATTCAGGAGTGAGTCAATGTTCATCAACTAATAGTGGCAGTCCACAGTCCTGTGGCTGGCAGTGTGTTCTGAATGAACAACACTGCCAGTAAAAATGTGCACCATAAATAATTTTAAGGATATAAAGTTCGGGAGCATCTTGGAACGTTCAGAAGACTGGGTAAAAAGGAAGGATTCCCAGGTCTGGTCAAGTGGAATTTGTGGTGGATAAAATGGCGCTGGGGCAGGTTTTCTCCGAGAACTTCGGTTTTCCCTGCCAATCTTCATTCCACCAATTGCTCCACAATCACCCTCACCTATCATCTGGGGCTGGTACAATAGTCCAGAAGTGGCCGCAGTACAAGGGACTTAGTGCCACCCCACTAGCAATAAGAAAAAGGGAAGGATTATGTTAGAATCAGTATATAGGGGGTGGGGGCTTAGCAAAACATGGAGGATAATATTAAATTTGGTATTTGGAAAATGGAGAAGACCAAGAGAAGGATGTGAGAATAATATCAAAATGCAGATAATAATCAGAGATGTCATCCTGCATAATTTGGTAAATAGGTACAAGTGTTTTGGAGGAACCAACTGAAATTCTTGTACCCTAGTTATTGAGACAGAAGGTTCCCCAAAATTGTTGTTACCTGTCTACAAAAGCACGCAGTGTTGAATCCCAGAAAACAACAATCTTAATACTTCCCACCACGAGAACTGAAAGTCTCGTATTAAAACATATCTTAGGAATGTATGCTCTGGATTGAACTGGCCCACCATCATGTTATATGGTAGGCCTCAGTATTGGCACTGTTGAGCTTTCAGCCTCTGCAGTGATTTTGTTTGTGAGGATGGACTCGAACCAGTCTGCTGCTCCCCCGATCAGGTTTGGCAATCCAGGAATTCCCATAATTCATTGTAGTACCAAGAAGTTAGCATAAATAATTAGTTGTTACCCTGATTAACCCAAGGGAAAGGTAGACTATATTAGCCCAAATAAGATTTTTTTCCACACACTGCCTAGAAAAGGGGTCATCTCATTTTAGGTTCCTTAAGAATAAATATAAAGATGATTATGAGGCGTTCTAATTCCTAATTTTAAGGGCATTCATGAAAATACTGAGCATTTAAGGTATTAAATTCGAAATTTATTTTTTCTTAATGGTGTGCTATCTTTTTACTTCTTTCTGCTTACAAACCCTCAGGACTGAATGATATTATCAATTTTGTAAAAAAGAATATTTGATTTTCTCATTGGAAAAATATGGGGTAGCCTTATAATGTGGCTTGTACTCTATGTACAGGAACGTGTTAAGATTCTGCTTTTCTGGGCTTTACATTCTTGAACATCCTGCTTCCATCTTCAGGGTAGAAGCCCTGAAGATTGAGGCAGCAGGTTCCTCTGAAACCAATCTAATAGACTGCTTGACATCATAATCCTAATATTCATGGTCTTGAGAACTCTTAAATCTCATTCAGAAAACCCTTACAGAAGAAGACTACTTGAAGACTTACATATAAATGGGAAGATGGATTGAACTGGCTCAGGATAATGCTCAATGGCACGCTTTGAAATTAATAAACATGATCACCTCAGTCATTATGCGTGCATTGTAGTCGATTTGTTCAAACAGTGTATTGAAGGTCATTATCTGAGGGTACATCATGCCTTAAGTTGGCAACCTCATGGAAACCAACGCCTCTGGTATGATCATGGTTCGCAGTATATGTTGGAAATGGAATCTGGAAACTTTCTAATGATAATGTAATTGTCTGAAGAGACATAACGATGTTATAATCCTTTGAAAGTCTACCTACGTTTTGAAGGAACCTTTCTTTACCCTTTTCACTCGGGCAGAAGTCTGTAAAATTAACTGCCCAAGCCAGGAGACATGGACACTGAGCCCATAAAGTAGTTCAGACAACGGTGTAGAGCACTGGTGCTTTTGTATTGTGGCATATATACCTGTTGCTCGGCAACGGTCAGTGGGTTGGCTGCAAAGCAGTGTTTTTTGTGCGATCTGTGTCTAGGGGTTATAAACGGACAAAATTTAGAGCTTAGATGTGGATATTCGCCTGATGGTAAGCATGTAAGTAGAGGACATGGTCGGGATCCATTGAGTGATCTTTAGTACATATAACCACTGAGACTGTTTCAGTTATTTGTAGTTACGAGTTGTGTGTATAAGTAGGCGGTAAATCGAGTCACCAGTCCAAACCCTGTCCACACTCTCTAAAACACATGACACTATATTTGTCAGTACTTCATCTGTTGACAGGCAACTAAACTAGTTGTGTCGATGTGTTTAAAATTCCTTCTCTTGCAGTTTTATTTTTATTTTATTTTAATTTTAACTGTAACTTGTACTATTTGCCAAGTATAAATAATATGATCAAGTCAAGGAGGATGATACGGGCAGGGCATGTAGCATGAATGGGGGCAAAGAGAAATGTGTATAGGATATTGGTGGGAAAGCCAGAAGGAAAGAGACCACTAGGAAGACCAAGATGTAGGTGGGTGGATAATATTAAAATGGATCTTATATAGGATGGGGTGATATGGACTACATCGATCTGGCTTAGGATAGGGACCAGTGGAGGACTCTTGTCAACACTTCCTTCCTGTCTCACCTTTGTCATTTAGCGCCATTTAGTCTAGCTGCTGACAGAGTCATGAAATAGCCCAAACCCTAACCACCACTTGTGAAAGGTATCAGTAACAGTATCCCAGATTTTTCTTCACATATTAACAACTGGGAAGAACATAACCAGTGTTTATATTATCTGGTTTTGGACAAGGAATCTTATATTGATGTTTTTTTTGTGCATTCCAGATGTCAGCTGGGTCTCAAATTCAGATGGCACCACAGGCAACTGTCAATTCAGGCCAGCCAGTTCATAGTCAGGACTCCAACATGAGTACAGGTACGTCACAGCTTACTCACGAGGGATATGGTTTGTCCCATCACAGATATTTCTTGCTTTTGGGGTTGTACACATCTGTCCTTAGAATTTGAGAGCAGGATAAAATCAGAAGATCGCTCTGTTCTGGGATATGATGCCATGTACTGCAAGAAACTTAAACTAAATTTGCAGAGAAATGTGCTGCCTCCTGAAACCATCTATCATGCAGTCTTCCCCATTTCATGTTCTCATCAGAGTCTCTTTTGCCCCTCATGACATTTTATCTGGCTGGTTTTCTCTGCTATTTGGCCCCGCCCTTTTAGCAGCCACTGTCCCCCCACTGGCCCAATTGCAACCCTGTTTGCTTTCCCCATTTTTCCTTTTGCTCATACCATTATTTTCCCATAGCTAAGTGGTCTCCTTCCAGCGAGTTTTCCAGTTAAATATTCTATATGTTTATTATTTCCCCTATTTTTTTTTCTCATTTCCCCACCTTTCATCGTCATCACCATCATCGGCTTTGGTGTGTGGGTATTTAATTATTAGTTACTTAATCATGATGTTAGTATAGAGACTGCATAACATCTTGTTACCTTTTTAAGTGTAAAACTTAGCTATGGGATTTTTGGTGTAGAAGTAAGCCAGTTTGACTTTTAAATCATAATGTTTTAAAAGTGATTACTTCATATTAACACAGGACTCTGCTTGTTTATATTCATATTATGCTTCCTTATCTCAGGACAGATATGCTTTGTTGTTCTGTTGTTTTGTCCATTGCAGTGATACTAGTGTCACAAGCCAGATAATGTAGTCTTGCATACAACTTGTGAACCCAAGTTCTTTCGTTGAAATAAAAGGGTTTATGCAAGAATGCCTAAAAATAGCCATGTGGTTTGAGAATTGGATTCCCTTGTGGTCAGCCCAAAATGCAGTTCACTATAATGCTTTGTAAGAAGTTTTATAATTCGAAATTTTGATGAAGTGTGAATCTGTCACAGTCAGATATATCAAGTTTATCTTTAAGTTACCTCTAATTTAATATCTCTTGCATTTTATTTGTAAGTTAAGTAAAGCTATCCTTGTAACAGGCCATGAAGGCCCATAGGGTTGTGAGATATTAAGGGTCCCACATTATCTAGACAGTTGGCTCACAGATGGCGGTAAGGTTGTCAGCCTTACTCGTATGCTCCGGATGTGCTTTACTCCCCAGAAAAATTATTTAATTAATTCCTGGTACTCATTTCTATTGGAGGCTGAGTCGACCCCAGGGCCATAGTGCGGCTGGAGAGATTAGGTCAATTGAAAAAAAAATCCGATAAGCTCATTGGGACTTGAACCCACGACCTTCCATCTTGTAGCATAGCCCCTCAACCAACTATGCTACTGCATGCCCCACATTTTATTTGGAATAAGCAAAAATTGCTTGATCAGTGGAAGGAGTCTATTATTGTACCAGTTCACAAGAAGGGTGATAAAACTGACTGTAGTAATTATCGTGGAATATCACTGCTATCAACTTCATACAAAATTTTATCCAATATTCTTCTCTCAAGGTTAAATCCATACATAGATGAAATTATTGGGGATCATCAGTTTGGGTTTCGACGTAAAAGATCAGCTACTGATCAGATCTTCTACATTTGTCAGATACTGGAGAAAAAATGGGAGTACAATGAGACGGTATTCGTAAACTTCAAGAAAGCCTGTGATTCAGTTAAGAGAGAAGTATTGTACAATAGTCTGATAGAATTTGGGATACCCATGAAACTAGTTGGGCTGATTAAAATGTGTTTAAACAAAACATATGGTATAGTCCATACAGGTAAACATTTGTCTGATCATTTCCCTATCCAGAATGGTCTAAAACAAGGAGATGCTATATCACCACTCCTTTTCAAGTTTGCCTTAGAATATGCCATTAGAGGAAGGTCCAGGAAAACTAGGCGGGACTGAAATTAAATGGGACACATCAGCTGTAGGTCTGTGCTGTTTATGTGAATCTACTGGGTGATAATATAGATACCATAAAGAGAAACACACAGACTTTAACTGGTACTTGTAAGGAGGTTGGTCTAGAAGTAAACACAGAGAAAACTAAGTATATGTTGCTGTCTCGTCTAAAAATGCAGGGCAAAATCATGACATGAAGATAGGTAACAGATGTTTTGAGAATGTGGCACAGCTCAGATATTGGGAACGACGATAACAAATCAAAACCTGATTCAGGAGGAAATTAAGAGGAGACTGAACTTGGGTAATGCTTGCTACCATTCAGTCAAGAACCCTTTGTCTTCTCGCCTGCTGCCCAAAAACATAAAAATTAGAATATGTAAAACTATAATTTTGCCTTTGGTTCTGTATGGGTGTGAAACTTGGTCTGTGACATTAAGGGAGGAACATAGACTGAGGGTGTTTGAGAGAAGGATGCTGAGGAGATTATTTGGACCGAAGACAGATGAAGTGACAGGAGGCTGGAGAAAACTGCACAATGAGGAGCTTCATAACTTGTACTCTTCTCCAAGTATAATTAGAATGATCAAGTCAAGGAGGATGAGGTGGGCAGGGTATGTAGCACAAATTGGGGTAAAGAGGAATGCATATAGTATATTGGTGGGAAAGCCAGAAGGAAAGAGCCACTAGGAAGATGAAGGCATAGATGTGTGAACAATATTAAAATAGATATTAGATAGAATGGGATGGTATGGATTGGATTGATCTGGCTCAGGATAGGGACCAATGGAGGGCACTTGTGAACACAGTAATGAACCTTTGGGTTCACAAAATCCTGGAAAGTTCTTGAGTAGCTACACAATGGCAGCTTCTCTGAAAGGGCTCAGCTCCATGAGTGAGTGAGAGAGAGAGAGAGAGAGCACTGCCCCCCCCCACACACACACACACACTTAATGAAAGTATGTTATCCAAATCATTCTAAATGTCATTTTTTTGTTACATTGTGATTTTCCAATCTTTTTTAAAGTTTGTAATCCAGTAATATCTTGAAGATCTCTTGTCTTCTGGTACATAATGGTGTGTAGTCTGTTGAAAGTGAACTGACAGTCACTTCTGAAACATTGGTTGACTTTGAATGGACTACATGGTGTTATATCTCAGAAGATAGAACTCTTTAACAGTCACTGCTGTGAGAACCCCAAATCCTACAATAATATCTTCTTTCCCGTCTCGTCTATACAGGTAAATAAACACAGCGAAATTGAATTTAAACTTTTTTTGGTGATCTGTGGTTTTGAACACTAAATTGATAGAACTCTTAAATGATGGAAATTGACACTGAGGTTATTTACTTAGAATCATTGAAATTAAACATTAAGTCAAGGAACATTAAATTGTAGTTCTATTGTATTGTGTATTGTGTGATTTAGTTTTCATGTTTGCTGTCTCGAGGTTTCAGTACAGACTAGATGGAATTGAATTGATTGGGTGGGGACTGGATCCTTCGTAGCCTCTTGTGGTGGTGGTTGTAGTGTGCTGTTACGTTTGCGTACAGTATATGGTAGGAAGGTTTTTAGTAGTAAAGTATATTTATTTACTGCATGCGAAATTATGTTTTGTTTGTTCAGCCAGTTCATCTGTCCATTTATCATTTCATCTTTTAATTAGTAGGTCAGTGTATTAGTTAGTTTTTCAGTTAATCATTTGTATGTTCACTAGCTGTGCCCGGCCACGCCTTGCTGTGGCTCAGTCTGCCTGTTCTTCCCCAGTCTGATTTGAAATTACTCGACGAAAAGAAAAACAACGAAAAATAAACTATACTTTTGAAATAACTTCCACACACGTCTCGGATTCAGCGAATAAGTTATTGAACGCTCACTTTTACACCAGCGAGCACAATTATTATCACGTCCAGTATCACCGAAAATTTCTTCGGAGCTGGACTATTATAACCCGGTTTCGGACGCAATAGAGGGCACTTTCGCCCAGGGTTCCATTTCACGTGTTCTGTGCTTGTTGCCGCAGAAATGCATTATTTCCGCTGTTCCAACAGTTCATTGCCACGGTTATTCCTAGGCGACGACCCGCTGTTTCAACAGTTCGTTGCCACGGTTATTCCTAGGCAACAATCTGTTGGTATTCAGTGGACGACGTATAACACGTTACAGTATATTAATATTGAATACAATTAATACTTTTACCTGTTTTTACCTGTCACGGGTGTAACATCTACATAATAGGCATATAAAAACACGCATGTGTTCAAATGCAACGTTGTGTCAAAATTTCGAAGCAATCGGTGAAGAACTTTCGGAGATCTTCGAGGAGAGCCAAACCAACAGTTACGTTTTTATTTATATAGATTAATTAACCAGTAAATCAGAAAGTTGCTGTATTTGTTAATGAGTCACTTTGTAAATCAGTCAGTTTTGCTGTTAATTGGTGAATTGGAATTTTAATTAATCAGTCAATTAGTCCATCTGTAAATTTGAAAGCTAATGTGTTAAGTCAGATGGTCAGTTAATTAGTGAGTTGGTGTTTTATTTAATCAGTGTCCTTTTCTGATAATTGGTTAGTTAATATGTTAATTAACTAATTAATTAATTGATAGTCCCTTTGTTATTTTGATATTCAGTAGCTATCCTAGCATGCATGTATGTCATTCAGACATACTTAAAAAAATTTGCCATTTGCAGAGCATTAAATAGTTGTTGATCACAGTGTTTAAGCCTCTTAACCTTTGGAGTCCTTCCAAGTATTGTACTACATTTTAAAAACATAAAACCTATATTTCCTCCTTGTTCATTATCAAATGCCAATATATTCGGTTTTGTTTCAAGATTAGTTGATGTGACTGTGTGATTTCCTTTGGCTTTCTGCCAGAATCTGGTGATTATTAGTAATAATGTTGGTGATAAAGAAGTTGTGTCGTGCCTTAAATTAGAACATGTCTTAGTGGCAACTATTTTGTCACTCTGCCATGTCTCACATTAACTCTTCACAAGAACAGCTGGTTTCTTACATGCTTTGTACACACCTTCAAGCCAGGATATCTGTCTCATGTTTCTTGGTTTACTAAATGGTGTTTTTATAGTTATTCAGTGTTGGAAAATAGTTTGGAGAAGTAAGACGTGACAATATTGGTTGGATTGAAATAGCTTTGAATTGGAACCATAGGTAGGCTTTTGAGATGAGGTGTTAATATTTGAATTTTGTGATAAGGCAGTTCTTGAGCATGGAAGTCCAACGTCATATAATTAATTGTCAGTCCTCTTTGAAACTTGAAACCCATCCAAGTAATATTTAAAAATCTTGTTCATATCTCACAGAGAACATTCCAGCTCCATTAACAAATTATAGCAGTTTAATGTTGTTTAGGGAAATAGTAACTGTTTATCCTGTGGACAAAATGCAGACTTTCTAATGTTTAATGCAGGTGGGACTTTGCTTTATAGGGTTGACATATTGTTTGTAGTTAGTTGTTTTATTGATGTCCTCAGTTATAAATAATAACTATGATAGTTTTAAAGTCAGCGCCCCTTCAAATTTAACTGTTGATTTAAATTGTGGCCTTCTGGTTTATGGTACCATGTTGTCTGGTATGTTGCTACCAGTGTTTCAGGATTCCTGAAGATGGCAGTGACAGCTTCCTCTCAAATGTTTGTAAGAACCTACCAAAGTACATGGTGTTATAAGCCAGAAAACTTCAGTCTAAATCAGTATCCATTTGGAGTTCTCTTCTGTCTATATGTATAATGCACTGTGATCTATTTAAATCACAAAATTCTTCATTGCATAAATATCTCCATTACTGTTTCTTCCCAGGGTCATGCGGTAGCATAGTTGGTTGAGGCATCGTGCTTCAAGCTGGAAGGTCACAGGTTCAATTCCCAATGACGCCATTGGATTTTTCAGTTGACCTGATCCTTCCACCTGACTATGTCCCCAGGGGTCAACTCAGTCTCTAACAGAAATGAGTACCAGGAAACCTTCATGGTGGTAAAGGGCGGCCAGTGCATAAGGCGATAACCTCACCACCATCTATGAGCGAATTGTTAGGAAAATGTGGGAGTCTTGACATCTCACAACCCAATGGACCCTCATGGCCTATTACAGGGATAGCTTTACCTTTACCTTACTTGCTTCTCCCTGTTAGGTCCAGTTACGACCAATGGGAACTGTCACATGGGAAGTGAAGACAGATTATATGTCTGATTCGCTTAGTGGGGGGTGGAGTCCAGCTGGGTCCACTCGGCACAGCGGCCACTGATTGGCCTATTGTAGCCTGCCCGGGTGATGATAATGGAGGATTTGGTTGAATGAAGATTGGCAGGGGAAACCGCAGTACTCGGAGAAAACCCGCCCCAGCACCACTTTGTCCACCACAAACCCCACTTGACCAGACCTGGGATCGAACCCCGGCCGCCGCCGTGGGAAGCCAGCAACTAACTGCTTGAGCTATGGCACAGCCTTTATATGTCTGATCCTCTAGGGTGTGAGGACTGATAGTCTGGTATATAGGTGCCAACATTTCAGAGGAACATGATGCTTCCCTCTTCAGCATAGATGACAGCTTACCATCCACTGTTCTCTCCTCAAAATAGAGGCAGCGTATTATACTTAGGGGGTTTGAGTTTCTCACAACAGTTAGGATCATGATATTCTGGGATGTGAATACATGTAGGTAGGTTCCAACACTTTGATCACATCCAGAATACAGTAATCTTATCTGCTGTGAAGTCCACAGATGTCATATAGATTCTTTTTCTCTGTACTCCCCCTTTCCAGTATTGGGCCATGCTTCCCTGTCATTGGTGGTGCTGAGCTGAAGATTTTCATTTCGTGTGATCTGGTGCACTTTGTTTTATAATTCATGATCATCTGCTGCATTGATATTGTCATGCACTGAGTGACTGGGCATATGGTTTGGATTGGTAATTTGATTTATTGGACTCTTATAAACTGAACTACAGTTCATCATGGTGCTCTTGTTAATATATGGACTTTACAGGTCACTACAGTGTGCAGTAAGTCTTCTCAGTCTGCTGTGGCTTCACCAGTCGCAGCTTGGTAATGGTTCCCAATGCGACAGATTTCTTAGCTTCCATTTTAACCTACCGACTATTTCATAACTCCTGGCCACTGACTCCTAGCTGCATCTGGCCATCACTGGCTACCACTCGCTATCGTAGCCTAGACCGCACATCCAATTGAGAATGCTCTGGACTTCTTATATGTCTTCAGTGCAGGCTGTGTAGAAAACACCATCTGTACGGTGTCTCTATTATTATGTCTATTCTTCAACATTTTCTCCATTGTTCCATGTATTCATTGCCTCAGGAATGTGTTTACAGTGCTATTTCTTATCAGTGGCTGGCAGGTTAGTTTGCTGTAGCCAACCTATGGACTTCTCTTCTGGTTCTTCTATCCTGGCTTTCACCCATCATGTTACAGTATGTTAACGGTTTTTCTTGGATCATATCAGAGTTCAGTCTTATGACAGGTGGTTTCCAGTTTCTTTTGTACTTCTGTACAAACTCTGTTATCAGTGAAATTTTTGTCATAAATCATTCATTTCTTCTGTCACCTGAGAGGGTAGAAATGTGTTGCTTGTTTCATGAAACACATTCAGCTGTTATTAGTCCTCTTACATATCTTTGTTTTGTTCAAGCCTCATTGCAGTTTAATAAGCTGGTCTGGCATCTCTTTATTGCTGCTCATCAGTAGAATGGTGCCAGGTTGTAGTGGGTAACACTTCTGTGTCATGTTGTCTAGGTCCTGGGTTGAAATCTCAGTGTTAATAATAGAATATTATTCTAAGGCCTTGTCCACTTTCTCCCACATTATTTATGATTCATCATTTGCAGTAATCCTTCCATTCTGCTTTTACCGGTTCTCACGGTCTCCTCGCTTGCGGATTTCTTATATTTTTCCTTCTACCCTGAAGATTGAGGCGATACGTTCCTCCGAAACGTCGGTTAACACCAAATATACACGGTGCCAAATCCAAGAAGACTGCTTTCTTCATAGTCACTGTCATGAAAGCCTCAAATCTTACATCCTTCCATTCGTTGCCACCTCATGACTCAAGTTATGCAGGTTCAAACCCGGCGGAGGTTGTGGAATTTTTAAGGCTGGAAAAATTCAGGGAACAAGTCCTCCGGGAGGTACTTTAAGCTGTGGGTCCCGTGTCGTAGATTTATGGCATGTAAAAGATCCTCATGTCTCTAGGAGACCTCTGAGCAAAATTAGGCAAAAAGTTTCCCGCCCAAGTAGTTTCCAGTGCCTCCTGTAGGGGAAGTTATCGGGTACCACTGCCAGTAGAGCGCCGACCTCGCTGGCAGAAAGGGGAGATAGTGGGCACCAGTATCGGTAGGATATGGCGACAGTAGAAATTAAAGGGGGACGTGCAATAGACTATTAGTCGCGGTGCATGGGGAAACCCACCCCCTCTATGCTGAATCCTTCCATTTAACTCCATGTAATCTGTGCAGCCATAAAAGTGTAGGTAACAGAGGTAACTGCTTCTGAACTATGCCAGTGTGTAGTAGCCAGTAGGTATTTACCAACACTTCTGAGTGAGCTGTTGCTTCCATCTTTGTAGCCTTCTACCCTGAAAATAGAGGCAGCAGGTTCCTCTGAAATGTAGGAACAGTCTGTCAGAGTACACTATGTCACATCCCAGAAGGCTGTACTGAACACAGTCATTGAGGTGTGAATGTCAGATGTAAGAATATGATATTGTCACATGTTGGGTATATGTGACGCAACAAGTAACTTCATGCCTTATTTGATATAGCGAATTTATTGCACATTCGCTCTTACAATCACACGATTTACAGTCTCACAATTACTGTCCTTGGCAGTATCACAAATTATCACATAAAATCTTCTAAACACGCATTCGGCTCTTCTCCTGCAACTGCCGCTATGTTCCAACTGTCTTAGGCAGCTGCTATATTTCAACTGGCTCCTTAGGCAGTGTAGTTCTCTTATAAACCCTCAGCCAGACAACGGGAAACGCCTCGCTTCCTTGTTGCCTAGTCGCTGTGTTTACAGGTGTTGCTGGGCAACGCTGTCAAGAGTTGTTTACTGCTGCATAGCAACCATGGCATCCCTTGGTAATGTCACCGCGGGAGGGGGCGGGTGTTGAGTGGCCTGTTACTGTAGCAGCAGCAATGCTCCGAAGGTGTTATATCACCGCTGGCGGGGGAGGGGGTGTCCTGCATAGCGCAAATACGTCACACTATGTTTAAATACAACACTTTGTACTTCAGACTTTTACAGAAAGGTGTTGTCAGTGATTAATTCTGTGTTTCTGTTTGCAGGTTCCTCTCATAGTGATAAAGAGGTGGACCCAAACACTCCTGAGAAGATCTCCCGCACACCCTCGGAAAGGAAGCGCAAGCGTAAGGGAGATGATGGGGGAGGGGGGGTGGCAGGGCCTGTGGGCGGTGCTGGAGGAAAGGGTGCTCGCACGGGAGACAACAAGAAGATCAACGAGTACTTCCCCAAACATGCGGGTACCAGCCCCATTCGACACGGTGGCTCAAAGAGCCCTTCCCCGCAGGCATATCCCATGGTTAGTAATTCTGTAATTCTCTACATGTTTCCTTTTGAACATTAATTGGCCCAGTTTTTCTGGGCATATAGATTTTACACACAATTTTGAAAGTGATAAGGCCCTTTTAATTTTACTGTCTTCTAGTAGATAGGAGGAGGCAGGGTTACTTACATGTAATTAAGATTGGGAATGTGGAAAGATTATTCAGTATCAGTATAATTCAGTGTGAACAGAATGGGCCTATCTTGAGCCAAATCTACGGGGATATCCATGATTTATTTTATCCGTCTTCTAGTGCATACATTTATTTATCCCCTCTTTTCACTCTCACTACATGTTTCGGCACCAGTGTGCCATCTTCAGGTGCTGATCCAATCCACGACAAACTAATTCATTGCATGCCTTGTCTTTACATACTAAAATAACTAAAATATATATTTATCATATATACTGACAAATGTCAAGTGTTAAAATACTAAAACTGTACAGCATATTTCTTTCCTACGTATGTATGCACTAGAAGACGGATATAATAAATCATGGACTTAAATCAGTGCAACAGGATGCTAAAATATAACACTACAGGGATATCACCACAGGGGTAGCATATGATTACTGTTCTTCCAAGATGCGACCCTGTGCGGTTTGATAGACAGGTAGCAGTATTCTAAACGGACATCTGTACCAAACTATATGATGTCACAGAACCCCAGACCTCACACCTCCAGCGTGTCTAATGGTGAAGATTGCTGTTTTCTGAGTTGTGACACCTTGGTAGTCTGGTAGATATTTTGCCCCTTTTAAAGGCCATGTAGTCTTTGACTGTGCTCCTGTTGATTCACTGAGGTCCCTGCCCCTGGTACACTTTCTCACTGTATCTCTATTTCTTTCGTGATCAACTTACTTTTCTGTCCTGAGGATGGAGGCAGCATGTAGCTCTGAAGTATGCCTTAAAAGATCTATCAGATGACATGGTGTCTTATCCCAGAAGATAGTAATCTACACAGTCAGTGCCATGAAAACCTGACAACTGAAATGCGTAAAGACGTATGTAATGGAAGAGCAAGTTATGTGTTGAGTGACGTTGCAGAAGGAAATGCTCATACGTGCTGTTCACATATTTTGATAAGTTTCATAATAGGAGATATTTAACGTAGCTTCTCTCTGCAGTTGGGACATGGGTGGTTGAATGAGGGGGGACATTTCAGAATGGTGGAAATGTGCAGTGAGGTGTAGGCCAGGGGTGAGCAGAAAGGTTAAAGGAAACAAAAGAGGGAATCAGAGAGGTTATTTAACCCTTACACTGCTGTGGTCGACATATGTCGATCTCTGAAAAACACGGTGTCCTTGCTGTGATTGACAAAATCCATATTGCGACTTTAGAGTTTCAGATCTCAGGTTTCTTTGCACCAATCTCATTCAAACTTGGTGGGTGCATAGAGTCATCTATTGGGAATGTAATGAAGCATTCATTTCAATGGCTGCATTCCTCTGCCCTCTAGCTTAAATGTAAAAGGTTGCATCTGCACAGCGAGGCACGTGCCCCGTTGTCATGTGACGCGAGTATTTCACGGGGCTAGTAAAAATGGCTAGTAAAACTGCATAATGAGGAGCATCATAACTTGTACTCTACTCAAAGTATAATTAGAATGATCAGGTCAAGGAGGATGAGGTAGGCAGGGCATCTAGCGTGAATGGGGAAGATGAGGCATGCATATAGGATATTGGTGGGAAAGCCAGAAGGAAAGAGACCACTGGGAAGACCAAGGCATAGGTGGGTGGACAATATTAAAATGGATCTTAGAGAGATAGGATGGGATGGTATTGATTGGATTGCTCTGGCTCGGGATATGGACCAGTGGAGGGCTCTTGTGAACACAGTAATGAACCTTCGGGTTCCATAAAATGCTAGGAAGTTCTTGAGTAGCTGCAGAATTGGTTCCTCTAGGAGGGCTCAGCTCCATGAATAAGTAAGTAAGTAGTTAGTTACAAATTGTCAATGAATAATCCGTCGAGTGTAGCAATGTTTTTTGGTCACTTATTTATTTCACTCGCCTTACATGTTTCGGTTCAAAAGGAACCATCATCAGAGGCACGTTACAAACACATGAAACCACTGGCGTTGT